ATTATGTATATATATATATATATATATATACATATACATACCTCCCTTTTGTCTGTTTTTATTAATTAGATTGACTGATTGATTTAGCTGTGATTTATTTATTTATAAACTATTTTTATGATATATACAGGACAGGAGAACAGTGTACCTGCAATTTTACTTACCTATGCTTGTGCATTTTAATTCTGTCTAGCTTGTACTTATTTGAACAATGCTTGAAACTTGGTATGACGAGCACTTCCAGTGTCTGTTTGCCTCTTTAAGAAGAATCGCTTGATGTATTCCCAATTGTAAGTCACATTGGATATAAGCATCTGCTACATGAATAAATGTAAATGTAAATGTAGTCATTGGATGCTTTCAAAGAACAGCAGCGATGTTCTGCTAAACATCTGCTTTTGTTTTCCACAGAAGAAATGCAGTCATGCAGGAAAGTCATGAGTGTGAGTAAATGATTTTTGGGTGAATTATTCTTTGAAGCGTGTGCGTTCAGAGTTACACAATTTTACAGATGACTTCCTGTAGGTGGCACTAGAGGATAAACACAGAATCTGTCAAACTGACCTTACAGTAAACTTTGTTGCATTCAAACAGGAAGTACAGCTTGAATGACTTAAATGGGGCATATCGTGGAAAACAGATCCTAGATCCTTAAAAATAAGTGTTGTATGTAGTATAAAAGATCCTGGATTTTACAAAACATCACCATCACTGAAATAAGTCACACCTACCTAAGATGGCCACCACTACATCGCCACGTAAGATCTCGATGGAGCCGCGGGAGATGAAGTAGATCGCGGTCAGGACGTCTCCGGCGTGCACCAGCGTGTCTCCCGGCGGGGCGTGTGTGGTCTTGAACTTCATGGCCAACGCCCGCAGACACCCTTTACTGGAGCCCTTGAACGCTTTACAGTTCTGCAGGAGAGTCCGGTTCAGATGCAGACAGATATCGGCCTGCAGACACTCTGGGAACCCCTTCAGCACCTGAAAGAGCAGAAAAAACAACTATTAAAAGCTCAAAAGCATTATCTATCTATCTATCTATCTATCTATCTATCTATCTATCTATCTATCTATCTATCTGTCTGTCTGTCTTATGTAAAAGTTATACACCATTCAGAAGTTTGGAGTAGATAAGATTTTTTAATGATTTTGAAAGACGTCTCTTCTGCCAAGGCTGCATTTATTTGATCAAAAATACAGTAAAAATTTTGAAATATTATTACAATTTAAAATAGCTGTTTTCTATGTGAATATCTGTTAAACTGTAATTTATTTCTGTGATCAAAGCTGTATTTTCAGCATCATTACTCCAGTCTTCAGTGTCACATGATCTTCAGAAATCATGCTAATATGCTGATTTGCTGCTCAAGAAACATTTCTGATTATTATCCGTGTTGAAAACAGCTGTGCTGGAAACCGAGATACATTTTATTTTTCAGGATACTTTGATGATTAGAAAGTTCAAAAGAACAGCATTTATGCCATTTGCGAAGCCTCATGGGATCTGCAGTCTCATAAAACATATGAAGTACACAAAATCTTACTTTTTTGTAGTACTTTGTTGTCTTTAAATCAACATTTTAATGTAGTGATTCATTTCAGAGCTGAGTGGTTCAGTAAATAATTTTTTGAAAAATTATGGTCCACATCATTTCACTCAGCAGCACAGCAATCGTAACGGCTCTGACTGTCCAATCAGAACGCTCCACTGCTCCTTAATGAGAGGAGCTGACGGCTGGAGGTGGACGCTCATTTGTTTTCTTTACTTCAATGCCTAATCTCGTTAAACTCTGCATTTGGGGCTGGTAATAGTAGAGGATGTGCTGGTGAGGACAGTTGCTAAATGAACTCATTATTTATAATACACACATGTAATCCAGCTCACAGATCACTTTAAAGGTGATGCATGTGAGTTTGTTAGCGTTAAAATAATAGTTCACCCAAAAATGAAAATGTGCTGGAAATGTGCTCACCCTCAGGCCATCAAAGATTAGGATGAGTTTGTTTCTTCATCAGATTTGGAGAAATGTAGCATTGGTTTTTAACTAAAATATGAGTCCGTAATCCATAATAACGCTTCCTACATTGAAAAATTGCATCTCCTGTTGTCTCTCACATCAAAATCCAGCCACATATTTGTTTAGAGCTGTTTAAACGCTGCTTGATCTGTGCAGGTTTCTCTCCTGATTCACACCAGAACACTTTTTCACTGGAGGATGTGTTATTATGGATTATGGACTCTATGGTATTTTAGTTAAAAACGTCTTAATGCTGGATTTGTCTCAGCTTTTGTCTTCTCCAGATGTTAACCAAACCTGATGAAGAAACAAACTCATCTACATCTGGGATAGCCTGAGGGTGAGCACATTTCCAGCACATTTTCATTTTTGGTTGATGTAAGGCAGCAGGTGGACTCACGGCGTTCATGTCGATGCCGTTGGTGTAGGACCAGGCGTGCTGGAAATATTCCTCCAGTCTCTGGCGAAGCGGGTTGGGAATCTGATGGAAGCGGATGAACTCTCTCACCCGCAGCATCTGAGTGTGATAACGAGCCGTTCCGGAGTACAGCCGCTGGATGATGGCTGACACGTTCCCGAAGATACTGGCGTACATGAGTGCTGAACAGGAACAGGAAGGACAAGGTTAAAATAGCATCATGATGAAGCACCTACACAGGTACATGCTTCACACTTTACTGTGTGACATCGGCTTAGATCAGTGCCTGTTTCCTCGCTGGCGGACAAGACTATTATGCTGTTAACGAGCACTTTTCTGTGCTGTTATAAACATCTCAGAGCATAAAAGAAATGAGCTTAGACCTACAATGTAAAAATTAGTTTTCCAAGTTGTCAATATAAAGATTATTGGAGTATGTTTTACAAGAAAATAGTATTTCAGTACTTGAACATTTCTTACTTGCTGTTTCTTTGTAATTAATTGTCAAACTTGTTTCTACACCAAATAGTGTCTTTTCCGTGTGTACAGATCTCAAGAGCTTCAGTGAAAGTGTTTCAGTATGACCCTAAATGACAGATTTCTCCCTGTATTCATCATTATACGGCCTCTATAAAAGCTTCTGGATTCATAGATTTCATCCGTTCCGCTGTTTTACGCTCGTGTTACTGCGGTGGCCACTGACTGATCTCAGTGCAGGTGGGCAGGGCTATGAATCACGCTACAAAAGCAGCAAAAATAGCAACAAAGAGAGAGCTGGTGAAGCTGAAATGCTAGAGCACGGCGCTACAGTGAGTTTGATTCTCATGAACCCGATACAGACTAAACGAATACATGTAGAAGTAGTGGGACACAGAATTTCTCCTCCTTTTTCTGTTTGTTCTAGCAGGAATGATATATCGTAATGTCAAAAAACCTGAAAAATCAAGCCTTTAGGTCCATTTTACTATCATTATTTACACTGTGACATTATTTTCATGGTAATTAAAAATATTATTTTATTAATGATAAAATATAATAAAAAATCAAAAAAATCAAAAAAATAAATAAAAATTAATTATTATTTTCCTACCCGGCTCTCATTAACGCAAGGCAAAACGAATCGTAGTCTCATTACTTTTAAATGCCTATAAATAAATAAATGAATGAATGAACAATGCAATATTATTTAAACTGTATAGTGGTTAAACTGCTTTTAATTTATGGCTTTAACAAAGAAAAACATTGCATTACACTTTAACTTGCAATTTCTGTAAAAGCAAAATACAGAAATTAGAATTTGTCATGAAAATAATTGTACAAAATAATTACAAAATTAAAAAATAAAATAAAATAATAAAATAAAATAAAAAGCAAAATACAGAAATTAGAATTTGTCATGAAAATAATTTTACAAAATAATTACAAAATTAAAAAATAAAATAAAATAAAATAAAATACTTGATGTTGGAATGAAATATCACCTGGACCTGATTTTTTGAGATTCATTCTACACACTCACGAATGAAATAAAGCTATTATATGCAGTAAAACACAGAAGAAATATGATTGAGCAAATGAGGCTTTTTGCAGTCCTTCAGCTGTTAAATGTTGAATATTGAGCGTTTGATCTCTACAGTCTGCTGACTTCAGCTGTTGAATGTAATGAACAATCTTGTATCAGATCGAAGAAGTCGTGTTGATTTTCTCCTTTCGCCCTCTTCCGAAATGTAATTCTGCAGCGCCGATGATAAATGCTTCTACCGGCTATAAAAACGGAAATTACTTCACGGTTATTGAGGTCTAATATATGTGCGGCAGTGATATTAACGTGCCAATTCATCATTAATTGCTGCGATCAGGACCTACAAAAATGAGCTATCAGGATGATTTGTTCAGCAAAAACTAAAAAGGAGGATGTTTCATCAGCATGTTGATCATAAAGTGCACAATAAAAAAAAAAAACTCTTTAGAGAACAAACACATGCATCTCAAATGAAGATTTCATCTGAACTACAAGACATTCAGGATGAAGATCAACACTCAGACGTGCTTTAATGGGTCAGTTATGCTTACTTTGTTTTCTCTGGATCTATTTAGTTAATTAAAAATACACAAAATGCAATTTATACACACAATGACGTCCGTACATCTCTTTTATGATGAATGTTTTCAATGTCTAGAACAAAGTTCATTGTCATCAGATCATAACAGAGAAAAAAAGGCTAATTTATTATATTATTGTTTTAGTATTATAGTTTCAATTTTAAAGTTTTAGTCATTTTTATATTATTAATATTATTATTTTTTTTTTTATATGTGTATGTTATTAAGTATATTTATGTTTTGGTTTTTAGTATTTTATTACATTAATTTAAACTAATTGAAAATGAGAAATGTTGCCTGAAAATTTAATATTTGAAATAATTAACTTTTTAATAATTAACATTTATTTTATTATTTATTTATTATTATTATTATTATTATTATTTAAAGGATTTAGTTTTTAATAACACACACTCATATACTGTATATATATATATATATATATATATATAAACCAAAAAAGAAGGAAGTAATTTTGTTTAAAATTCTTTAAAAAATAAGTTAATTATGTCAGTATTCAAATATTTATAACAAACTTTCACTATATATATTGGAATGATAATAAAGAAAATTAAAATATGTTATACAAAATCTTAGCCATTTTTTTCAAAGTCATTAGAAACAAACATTAATACAAATATTATATTTCTACACATTTTTAAACTGGATTTTTAAAAACTGTACCATCATCTTGGACCTCCTAACTTACGGCTGACTCTTAAATAGTGAAACATACTCACATCCAATCAGCATGACGCAGATGGAGAAGATCTTCTCGGAGTTGGTGTTGGGCGACACGTTCCAGAAGCCCACACTGGTCAGGCTGCTGAAGGTGAAGTATAAAGCAGTCACGTATTTGTCCTTGATGCTGGGTCCCGATCCCCTGATGCTGCTGTTGTGTGGTTTGCCCAGATCCACGCCGAGCGCATGCAGCCAGCCGATGGAGCGGTTCTGCTCCACGTTCCCGATGGCGAACCAGATACAGGCCAGCCAATGAGCGATCAGAGCGAACGTGCACATCAGCAGAAAGAGGACGGCCGCGCCATACTCAGAGTAACGGTCCAGTTTACGTGCCACTCGCACCAGACGCAGAAGACGCGCCGTCTTGAGCAGCCCGATCAGGGTAATGAAAAATACACAAAATGCAATTTATACACACAATGACGTCCGTACATCTCTTTTATGATGAATGTTTTCAATGTCTAGAACAAAGTTCATTGTCATCAGATCATAACAGAGAAAAAAAGGCTAATTTATTATATTATTGTTTTAGTATTATAGTTTCAATTTTAAAGTTTTAGTCATTTTTATATTATTAATATTATTATTTTTTTTTTTATATGTGTATGTTATTAAGTATATTTATGTTTTGGTTTTTAGTATTTTATTACATTAATTTAAACTAATTGAAAATGAGAAATGTTGCCTGAAAATTTAATATTTGAAATAATTAACTTTTTAATAATTAACATTTATTTTATTATTTATTTATTATTATTATTATTATTATTATTTAAAGGATTTAGTTTTTAATAACACACACTCATATACTGTATATATATATATATATATATATATATAAACCAAAAAAGAAGGAAGTAATTTTGTTTAAAATTCTTTAAAAAATAAGTTAATTATGTCAGTATTCAAATATTTATAACAAACTTTCACTATATATATTGGAATGATAATAAAGAAAATTAAAATATGTTATACAAAATCTTAGCCATTTTTTTCAAAGTCATTAGAAACAAACATTAATACAAATATTATATTTCTACACATTTTTAAACTGGATTTTTAAAAACTGTACCATCATCTTGGACCTCCTAACTTACGGCTGACTCTTAAATAGTGAAACATACTCACATCCAATCAGCATGACGCAGATGGAGAAGATCTTCTCGGAGTTGGTGTTGGGCGACACGTTCCCGAAGCCCACACTGGTCAGGCTGCTGAAGGTGAAGTATAAAGCAGTCACGTATTTGTCCTTGATGCTGGGTCCCGATCCCCTGATGCTGCTGTTGTGTGGTTTCCCCAGATCCACGCCGAGCGCATGCAGCCAGCCGATGGAGCGGTTCTGCTCCACGTTCCCAATGGCGAACCAGATACAGGCCAGCCAATGAGCGATCAGAGCGAACGTGCACATCAGCAGAAAGAGGACGGCCGCGCCGTACTCAGAGTAACGGTCCAGTTTACGTGCCACGCGGACGAGACGTAAAAGACGCGCCGTCTTGAGCAGGCCGATGAGGGTGGTCTGTTGAGTTGGCTAAAATAAAAGAAAATAAAGAAAAAAATAACAGATTTATAACGGGATTTATGCAGGTTTCTTTTTAAAGACCTTTTTAAGACCAAGAAATATCATTTTAAAGGGACAGTTCACCCAAAAATGAAAATTCAGTCATGAATCTTTTTCCATACTATTGAAGTCAATGGCTACCGTCAACTGTTTGGTTACCAACTTTCTTCAAAATATCTTCTTTTTTGTTCAACAGAAGAAAGAAACTCATACAGGTTTAGAACAACTTGCGGATTAAATGACAGGATTATCATTTTTGGGTGAACTGTCCCTTTAAGAAACACAATAATGTCTTGCATTAGCAACACTTTGACGTTTGACAATACAACTTCCAACCGATCTCCATTACTTTTTAATTCATTTGACTTTTAGCTTAGTGCTTGAATATCTCTGTTCCCAACCACTAGAATATGGAAATAACTTTTACTGTACCTTACACTTTCAAAAATGCTGGGTTGTTTCAACCCAACTTTGGGTCAAATATGGACTAACCCAGCTGTTGGGTTAAATTTTTCAATTAAATTTTTAACCCAAAAGTTGGGTTAATCCATATTTGACCCAAAGTTGGGTTGAAACAACCCATATTTTTATGATTACAGTGCAAAAAAAAAAAAGGTTCTTCTTCAGTATTTTGTCTTGTTTTCCAATGCAAATGTCTAAAGATTCTTAAATCAAGATACATTTAACTTAAGAAGCAAAATTATATAAGTCTTGTTTTATGTGAAATTTATCAAAATGAAGTGAGTTACGAATAAAAAAAGAACAAATATCTGCCAATGAGGTCAGAAAAATCAATTTAATTCAAAGGGAAATAAGTTTTTATTCTCCACTAACAAATGTTTGTTCTTGTTTTAAGCATAAACTTATTTCATTCTGTTCTGTTTCTCAGAAAACAAGACTTCATATGTTCATTGTGCATCTCAAGTAAATGCATTTAAGGATGTTAAATCAAGAAAAAATTTAAAATATTCATTTTTAGCAATGTATGCAACATTTAATGCCATGACTTCATGAATTTAAGACTTTCTGCTCTGATTTGAGACCTTAATTTGTGGAAACATGAATTAAAACTTTTTAAGACCTGCAGAAAACATACTGTATATTACATTTATTCATTTAGCAGACACTTTTATTCTAAGTGTGAAATGAGGATATAAAAGATGTGCGAGGCAAGCAATTTATCATAAGACCTGACAGCACATGCAGTAGAAAATGGCAAGTTTGAAGTGTAAAAGATAAATGAGTACACAAGAGCTGGAGCACAGATTTACCTCTGTACTCATCTCCTCCCCGGTGCGGTCTATGAGCAGGTCGAAGGGAATGGCAGCCACCATGTCGATGAGGAACCAGCCTTTGAAGTAATGCACGGCGATGCGCAGCGGGTGGCTGACCACCTCGTCGTTGGCGTTGACGTAGGTGGTGCGGAAGTTGATGATGATGTCGATGATGAACATGATGTCCACCATGAGGTCCACCACGTTGAGCGGGCTGCAGGAGTAGCTGCAGTTCTGCCCGGAGCTGTCCTCGTCTCCGTTGAGCAGGAAGGCGGCGGAGTACGGCGTGAGGATGGCCGTGTAGATCACCAGCAGCAGGATCAGCCAGTCCCACACCGCCTTGAACGGGCTGTAGTGCAGCACTGTCCACTTGTGGATGCGCGGCGTCTGGAGCGGAAAGTGTTTCCAAGCCGCTCGTGTTTGAAAACCGTTCACTGGATCGGCATCGGCACACAGAAGAACGTCGACGACAGTGAAGAAATTCAGGAAGAAATATATGCAATAAATGTTTTTTTTTTTCCACAAGCCACTAGCATTTGATATTGCTTTGCCATAGTCAGCATTTTCTCATGATCTAAAAATGAATGAAAACACAACAAATTATTGTGGAGGGGAAAAAAAAAAATCAAAACACAACGAGGAACTAAAAGGTTCTTGGCTGATTCTGGCCACATAAATAAATGTGCAATAATATATTCAACATATTACAAAAAATTGACATATTATACAAATAAATATACATATAATCATTAAAAATGACAAAAAATTGCATTACATAAAATAACAAAATTCTAATATTATATATATATATATATATATATATATATATTATTTCAGCTAGCTGCCAAGGAAACATTTCTTATTTTCATATAGAAATTAATGTAATAAATTGTTGGAATACAGTACAATCTTGAAATGGTTTACTTATGATTCAGATTTCAGATTTAAAATGTGGTCAAATAAGGGAATGACTTCTTTTTGCACCATCATTGAGAAAGGTGACATTTTAAGCTTTCAGTTATTAAAGAAAAAGTTTTTTTCTAGAAAATCAAGATTTTTTACAGATACCTTCAGGTTCGACATTATTATGGTCAAAAATCAAAAGGAAAACTAGAAGATTATCTGAACCCATTGATAGACTTACTTAAGAAGGCACACGCATCAGGTATTAAATATAAGATAGTTAAGTCTCAGATATACAAGTGTTTGAAAAATATGAAAACACACTCCACAACTTTATCAAAGAGAAATGGATGACAGAGAGTGAAACGATCTTTACTGATGAAGAGTGGTCAACTATACGGAAATGAGCTAGCTCATTAAATTGGAAGGAATATTGTTGGAAAAATATAGAAACAGATATAGAAACAGTACATAATAAATACCTGATGGCTGTGCTTTTGGCAGCCAGTAAGAAAGCAATCACACGTAAATGGTTAAAACAAGAGAGACCTACTTTAGATAATTCGATAGATGTGACCACAGAGATTTACATGATGGAAAAGATCACTTTTTTTGTTAATTTAAAGAAGGATGTGTTTCTGGGAAAATGGAGGAAATGGGTTGAATATGTATCAGAAAGAAGGTCTTGATTTTTGAAAAAAAAAAGTGCCAGTACCGGCAACATGTCAGAAGTGCCAGTACGCTAAAGAGTAAAATATTGAAGTGCCGGTACTGCGCCCACTTCAAGCACTGTATAGATGGATATATGTATATAATTTATGCTTATGTGTGTGTACATATACATACTCTGTTTAATGTCTACATATAAAATGAAAGTCATTTGAGTTCATTCTGGATGGAACTGAATTAGGACACATGTTATAACCCTGGATGAATATAGTTACCCTTTTTGTGTTTTTTTTAAATTTTACTTTAATTGTTGTACTTTGATACAATTTAACCAATTTTGAGTATAATTTATATTTAAAACACATTAGGTAGTTATACATGTCTATATTCTAAAGACAGTTGGATGCATGGATGCATTGAGCATTGTTTGTAACTTGAAATATGCTATATGATTGTACTCGAATGAATGTTCAGAATAAACATAAAATGGAAAAAAATAAGAAATTAATGTAATAAAATAACTAAAGCTAAAACAAAAACTGCATAGACATATTTAAAAAATATATGAATAATAATATAAAATGGCAAACACACAACTAAAATACTAAACTTTAAAATAAAAAAAATAAAAATAAAAACTAACTCAAAATATTAATAAAAACTATAGTACTATATTAGTGATACTAAAACAATAATATTATAAACACACACACACACACACTCACTCACTCACTCACACACACACTTAAATAATAATATAAAAAATTACAACAACACAATAAATTTACTAAAACTTTAACATTAAAATAAAAACAGAAAATGTAAAAACTAACTCAAAATGTTAATAAAAACTATAATAGCATCTCAATGATACTAAAATAATAACACAACAAATAATAAAACACACACAACGTATTACAAGGATTATAAGATTTTAATGCACACAGTGGATGTAATATTGTAGTAATATTGTGAAATATTATTAGGAAATTGAGCAGTAGCACACTAGTGAGGGAGGGTGAATTGACACAAGTGCACTGTGTTGGTGTGCTAGAGGAGCTGACCTCTCCTGACGGGTTTATATAAAGCGCTTGTGCTGCTGTCGGTGAAACTCACCGACGGATGTTTCTCTGCCGTCTGCGTGAGTCCAACACTTTATGTTTCGATGCACAAATGAACACGGCTGTGTGTTTACGGTTAAGTAAAGCTTAATTTGAGTAAATGTAATTTGAGACGGAAGCTCATGTTCTGAAAGTATTCTCTCTGTCAAAGACGCTCAGCTGTTTTACTGCTATATGAATTATTGCACACACAGACAACCAGACCATTCATATGCTTGTTATGCAAAATGACATGATATATACAAGAATGTTTCTTAATAATTCACACTGACAAGAAAGAGACTGATTTAAACAAATAATCAGAAAGTAGCGCAAGATCTCATCAGTCAGTGTCAGATTTATGAGCGTACAGTAATTTCTGACATGTTCATGTCATATCTCATCTGCTGAACCCAGTGTTTTTTCAGTAAGAAGTTTTCCCTCCACAATTTTCTTTACTTAAAATAAAAACACAAAAATGAACTACAACTTCTGCTAAACGGCCAATGTTTTTGGCATTCGAATCACCAATACATTGTATATTATATTATATTATATTGCTATATGTACTATTTATATAGCTTTTTTTTATTAGATTTTTTTTGATATTTTCTGTTTTCATACTAATTTTAGATTAGTAATTTTTTTTGTCATTTTTTCTTTTTTTTCTCTTTTATATAGTTTTGGTTTTAGTTAACTATAATAAACTATTACAAATCTTTTTAATAGTTAAAAAAACAATTCTACATGCAGATGATATTCTGTCATTTTGAAAAATGTATTTGAGTATTTATGCATACAGCAATGCACAGCATACATAGTAATAGTATGCACATGAGTAGGTTACGCGCTGGTCCAATCATATCTGTTCATCTGCGTGTGGCCTGTCCGTGCGTCTCAGCTTCCCTCAGATCTCCTCATTACTCTCCAGCTGAGGTTCATGTGTCGTCTCAGAATACGCTTCATGTCTGCTGATGGTTTGAGCAGCGGAGCTCCATGTCGCCCTCGTCTCAGATGGTTCTGCTCGGGTGAGCCGCTCTCACAAACGCAGGGCATTGTGGGGGTCAGCAGGTGTTCTGCGCGCACAGACCGCGGGCAAGAGCAGGTGGCGCTCTGACACACCACGATCACACAGCATTTACAGCAGCACACTGCTGCGGGAGTCATCATGGGAAATGTCCTCCAGCTGTCTGTCTTTACTAGTACATGTCAGCTGCGGTGACGGCCGAAAAGAGCAGAAACGCTCGGAACGCATGACTAACGCTAGTGCTTCCACCAGCTCTAACAGACCGTCTGTGGGCGAATTATAACTCGATCTGGATGATTTCTGGAGTCGCCGTGATACTCAGGTGTTGTGGATGGTTTTAGTATGTTGCTAAGCAGTTGCTCAGCTGTTGTGGGTGGTTGCTAGGGGGGTTGCTATGCAGTTGCTCAGGTGTTGTCGGAGGTTTTAGTATGTTGCTAAGCAGTTGCTCAGGTGTTGTGGGTGGTTGCTAGGGGGGTTGCTATGCAGCTGCTCAGGTGTTGTCGGAGGTTTTAGTATGTTGCTAAGCAGTTGCTCAGGTGTTGTGGGTGGTTGCTAGGGGGGTTGCTATGCAGCTGCTCAGGTGTTGTCGGAGGTTTTAGTATGTTGCTAAGCAGTTGCTCGGGTGTTGTGGGTGGTTGCTAGGGGGTTGCTATGCAGTTGCTCTGGTGTTGTGGGTGGTTTTAGTATGTTGCTAAGCAGTTGCTCGGGTGTTGTGGGTGGTTGCTAGGGGGTTGCTATGCAGTTGCTCTGGTGTTGTGGGTGGTTTTAGTATGTTGCTAAGCAGTTGCTCGGGTGTTGTGGGTGGTTGCTAGGGGGTTGCTATGCAGTTGCTCTGGTGTTGTGGGTGGTTTTAGTATGTTGCTAAGCAGTTGCTCGGGTGTTGTGGGTGGTTGCTAGGGGGTTGCTATGCAGTTGCTCTGGTGTTGTGGGTGGTTTTAGTATGTTGCTAAGCAGTTGCTCGGGTGTTGTGGGTGGTTGCTAGGGGGTTGCTATGCAGTTGCTCTGGTGTTGTGGGTGGTTGAGGGGGGTTGCTATACAGTTGCTCAGGTGTTGTGGGTGGTTGCTAAGGGTTGCTAACAGTAACACAACAGATCGCTAAAATTTCAAAGTACCGTTTCTATCACTTTTACATGGAAACCCATTTCCACCACAAAACAATCATGCTAAATAATGAATAAATCAAAATGATTTAAAAAGCCAAAATGAAGACATAAAAATAAATTATGAGATAAAAACAATTAGATTTTTTGTCATAATTTCGACTTTTATCTCATAATGACTTAGTTTGTCACAATTTCAACATTTTGTCATAATTATGACTGTATCTCATAACTGTCTTTTTATCTCATAATTATGACTTAGTATGTCATAATTTTAACCTTTTCCTCACATAATTATTACTATTTGTTATAATTTTACCTTATCTCATAATTGACTTTTTATCATAAATTTGACTTTCTCATAACTGACTTCTCATAATTATGACTTAGTATGTCAATTTTGACCTTTTGCTCACATAATTATGACTACTTGTCATAATTTAGACTTTTTATCTCATATTTATGACTTAGTATATCATAATTTTGACATTTTGCTCACATAATTATGAAATTTATATAATAATAAGATTTTATATCTCATAATTGTGACTTAGTATATCATAAGTTTGACATTGTCTTACATAATAATGACTGTCATAATTATGACTTTTTATCTCATAATTCTGATTTAGTATGTCATCATTACGATTTTTTATCTCATAATGACTTTTTCATATAACAATTCAGCTTATTATTTAAATTCCCACTTTTTATCTCATAGTTCACTTTTTTTTTGTTTTTCGACTTAGTATGCCATAATTATGACTATTTATCTCATAAATATGACTTAGTATGTTGTATTTTTCACTCTTTATTAAGATTTACCAAAGCATAATGTTTTTCTTCTGTGGTGAAAATAGGCTGCCGTTCGGTTATGCCAGTGTTTATGCCGCATTAAATCTCCTCCGACACGGCAAAAGAAATCATGTTTTACCAAAGGTGTGAATTTGATGTGATAAAGATCACCAAAGTTGTTCCATCCTTGTGAGCAGCACGTAAAAACAAACACACAGACTGACCAGTGTGGTCTGATTCACAAAACAAATGACTCGTTTGAACTGATTCTTTTAATGAATCGTTCATCAACACTTCACACACTTGTTAGTCTGATTGACACTTGTTTCAGTCAACAGATTTTTCTCATTCTCACCAGGACAGCAGCTGATGATGTAATGTGTGTTTTATTTGCTCTTTGACATATTTCTCTGCTGGAGAGCTGATGAGCTGGAGGCTGTTTGACCTCAGGACTCAAATCTTCCTGACGCCGACTCCTTCAGTACAATCCATCAGCATGTTTTATAGTAGCCCAGTGTCATGGCTGTCTTCTACCTATTCTCTGTGACTAACGTCCTGCACATTAAACTGGAATAAAATATTTCTATGAGAAACTATGAGAAATTATTTAAAAGGGGACAAAATAAACTATTCATCTAATTTCTCAGTTTCGCACAACTGATCATCACATTAGATCATTACATTTGTGTGTAAAGAAACCCAGGCAGACCGTCATAAATCAAGGCACAAATAACTATTTATACATCCCCATTTAGCATTTTTAAATAATTGTATTCTTTTTTTGCCTTTTATCTTCATTTTAATGCATGTTTATTTCATTTTATTTAATTTCCTAAATTTTCATTTCTTTTTTATTTTAATTGTATTGTTTGTATCTTTATTTTTTAGTTTAATTAGTTCTAATTTTCATTTTAATTAATGTAATTCTTTATTTTTATGTCATATTTATTTTTATGTAATTTTTATGCCTACTATTTTTTGTGTAAAACATTTTGGATTACCATTGTGTATGAAATAAGCTATATAAACAACCTTGCCTTGCCAAAATATAGTAATTTTACTAAAATTAATTGACATTTCAGAAAACAATATTGCATATCAGAAACATATTATATCATCCTTTTAATATATCCCTTTATTTCATTTTAATTATTTTTATGTTTTTTTTATTTCAGTTATATTGTGTGTATCCTATTTTTTAATCAAACTAATTTTAAAAATTTTAATTAAATTAATTCTTTATTTGTGTGCCATGTGTATGTTTTTATGCCTACAGTTTTAATCTTTTTTTGTAAATAAATGTAAACATTTTAAGTAATCGTGTATAAAACATGCTATATAAACAAAATAAAACTGACATTTTAGAAACAATATTACATATCATAAACATTATATAATCATCCTTTTAATTTATCCCTTCATTTCATTTTCCATTTATATGTTTTCAAATTTAGTTTTATTGTTTGTATCTTTATTTTTTTAATCAAAATGAATTTAGAAATTTTGAATACAATTTTTTGTACTAATACTGCATATCAGATACGTATATGTGACCCTGCAGCACAAAAGCAGTCTTAAGTCGCTGGGGTATATTTGTAGCAATAGCCAACAATACATTGTATGGGTCAAAATTATACATTTTTCTTTTATGCCAGAAATCATTAGGATATTAAGTAAAGATCATGTTCCATGAAGATATTTTGTTAATTTCCTACCATAAATATATCAAAACTTAATTTTTGATTAGTAATATGCATTGCTAAGAACTTCATTTGGACAACTTTAAAGGTGATTTTCTCAATATTTAGATTTTTTTGCACCCTCAGATTCCAGATTTTCAAATAGTTGTATCTCAGCCAAATATTGTCCGATCCTAACAAACCATACATCAATGGAAAGCTTATCTATGCAGCTTTCAGATGATGTATACATCTCAATTTCACAAAATTGACCCTTATGACTAGTTTTGTGGCCCAGGGTCACATATGTATTTTCTACTGCAATGAAAACTGCTCCAAAACAAGGTTGATCATGTTGTTGCTGTTTTAAGTAAAGCTGTATTTAAAGTGTGTGTGCAGACATCAGCTGGCATCACGCCTGAGCTCTTCTGCAGAAATCATCTGCTCTCTTGACCTTGAACGGCCTGATCTCAGTGCAGCCGTCATTCAGCACCTATTAGAGCTCGTCCCCAGCGCGTCAAGACCCTCCTCGGGGACATCGCGCCTTATTTTTAGAAACCTCTGCCACTAAAAAAAGTTTTCAAATCTCCCCGGTGAAGCGTGAAGCAAAACCATGTCCAAAGCCCAAAGACCTGTTTATTCCCACATTCACTGGAGACGAACAGTGGAGGTTTTTGCATGATTCTAGGCTCATTTTAACATAAATGCTCTCGAGGGACAAAATCATGATGGATGTGATGCTGAGAAATAGAGAGATAAATTCAGCCGTCCATCGGCATCACTGATGAATATGAAGACTAGAAATATCCATTTCTCTTCATCTATGAAAAACAGCTCCGAGTAGAAAATGACTCTCAATGTATTTTTTGCTTTAAATAAACAATATGAAGCTCTGGTTCAGATGTAAAACAAATGAAAACTGTTTCACTGAGAGATTCCTGGCTTTAAATTGCACTGCCAAATTCACATGAAATATGGAATGAAATCTCATTGCTTTCTCCATCCGAGGTGCTAAAATGAGTCACAGAGAACAAAGTACGAACAAAAGAGCCGTGTCTCCGTCGCTCGGTGAAGAGTTCAACAACATGTCAGCAAGAGTTTCCTTCATCTTCATCTAAACTCATTCACATCTCCATTAGTCATTTCATCTGATGCAATATAGAGCTCAACATGAGCTCATATCTCTCCACCGACTCATCATACATCACACACCTGTGAGAATAAACTTTCTCAAACTGTTTGTGGTCTTTTTTTCAAAGTGTCAAGCTGCAAAAAGGAGATTTACAGCATTACAGAAACCTTTTTCAATGGAAAACAACAAGCATGATTTGAGTTTGGTGAGTAAATACTGACATGTACTCTTATTTTTGAGTGTATTGCTCCTTTAAGTGTCATTTCAATCTAATAAAAAGACTAAACTTTTAATGCTGACACCCAAACATATATCAAAGCTGTTCATAAACGTCCACTGCATTTTAATTTCTAACTAAACAAGGCGCTGACAGCATTTAACGAAGGTTTATGAGAGTGAGATTTCCCTCTGGATGTGTCGTGTGTTAATTATATCTACTGAAGGTCTATTCTGTCCATCAGCTTTTTGAGCCACTTTCATTTCACATGTTCTGATTGATTTGGCAAAGATCCATGAAGATGTTCAAAACTGGACCGAAGGAGTCAGAACACGTTATTTGATCATGAACAAATCATCTGAATGAATCATTTGAATGATTCTTCAGGAGACGAATCATTTGAATGATTTGAAAGACGACGGTAGATCAATCCTTCTTTTCTCAGTGAGAAAAAACACGAGCAGAATGAATTTGTCGTCAAAAACAAGATTTGATAAATTAGTAAAATATAATATTATCTAAATTGTTAAACTGAACTGAAAATGACTATTTACACACAATCTTTTAATAAGACATAAATGCAATAAATAAAGAAATACATTTAATTATTTATATTATATTTATATTACATAATAATTATATACATAATTTCTTTTATTTTTATTAATATTTGGAATTTGTTTTTATTTTTATAATTTCGGTTTTCTTTTTTAATTTTAGTTGAAATTTTAGTAATTTTTTGGGTTTTCGGTCATATTTATTATTTCTTTTCTTTTCAAAATATATCTATAGATTTAGTTAACTATTATAACCCTGATTCATACATTTAACTACTCGCAATATAACACGACCCTGTTTTCTGAATATTAAAAAAGAAAAAAAAAAACTTTAAAATACATCAACTTCAGCATTAAATATCCATTAAAATATGGTTCTGTCCATTTGACATCCTCTATTTTAATTTCTCAGATGTGTGTGAAAGTACTACAGTAAAATATCCTTCATACTTGAAGTTCCAATCGAATGCAGCTTTCATGCATTTAATTTCACAATTCAAACCTAAAAGAAATCCCGCAGAAACCTTGAGTCAACAGATATTTCACGGGCTGGAAGAAAGCCTGCGGTAATACAGCAGATCAAATATTGAAGAGCCTCAATTTCTATTATAAACAATGACAGAAGCTTTGGATCGGTCTGCCTAACAAGCTCTCAGCTTCTCACTATCTCAGGACCTCTGGGTTTATAGCAAGATAAATAATTCAATCCTAGAGCACTGCGGATAAAATCCAGCAGATTCAAAGCAAAAAGAGTCAAGAGTGAAACTCAAACCACAGAAGCTGAATAATCTATCTGCATCAGAAACGCTCCGCCGCTCGTCCTTTTCTTTTGCATCACCGATGAGTTTCATTTTAAAATGATAAAAGGAAGTCATGCGTTCATCTTTTCCGTCTCTAATTCTCTCTCTCGGCTGCAGCTTTCTTCTCAAATCTTCATCATCACTGTTGCTTCAGGACTTCAGGACGTCTGCGTCCGCTGCTGAAGCTCCTAATGTTTTGATTCTCTGTTGTTCATGTAAACGTCAGAGTCTGAATGAAGTTTCGTTCTCAGGTCTGTTGAGGATTTGAGAGCTTTAAGTTGGGACAGTGAGAGTTGAGCGTTTTAGGGGCTTCTGTAATCTGCTTTGGGAGCCGCTTTTCCATCTGCTGATGAGGAACTTTAATAACGCGCAAAGTTGCAAAGAATCCATGAAACGCTTTTTTTTTTTTTTTTAAAGCCATTGCATTGAGACGTTGGTGTATGACGTCACATGAAGATGGCAATACTCAGGAAAATGTACACAGTTAGATAAACATTCCCTTAAAATAAATGCATCAATCAGTCTAAGCTGATATAGTAATGAAGAGACAGACAACGGTAAACTACATCAGGGATTTTTTTGTCTGCCCGGAACTGCTTCCGTGTTCAACAGTGAGTGCAAGCTACATTAAAGTGATTATTACGTTTTAAATATGGTTATTTTTCTTACAAAAACGCATCGATTCGCTACAGGAGGCCTTTGTTCATCCCCCGGAGCCGTGTGAGACACTTTTTTTATGGATGGGCGCTTTTTATTTCACTTCTTTTAGACTGAAGCAATGCAACACCCGCTGACTGGCATTAAACAGTTTGAAAGATCAAAGACAATTTTTTATATAACTCCGACTGGATTCGTCTGAAAGAAGAAAGTCATATACACCTAGGATGCATTAAGTGTGAGTAATTTATGGGCTAATTTTCATTTTTGGGTGAACTAACCCTTTACACACATATGTTGATTTATTTTTCATTTAATTATATAAAATGTCTTACTGAAAATAAAGAAACATACCAAATTAATTCATTGTGAATGATTTAATGACACAATCATAAATGCAGTCTGTTTGTTTTATTTCCTAAATTATTAAGCATATTTGAACAAATCAGTTGTTAATGATTCAGTGACTCATTTATAAATACAGTCATTTGTTTTGTTCCTAAATGAATCAGTGTTTTTGAACAAATCAGTTGAGTGATCAATTCAACGCCTCACTCATAAAAACAGCCACTTGCTGTGCCGTTGAATGCATTGTTAAATGAATCGGTTCAACGAATGATTCAAATTACTCACTCAATAAGAAGGTCATTTCGCCATCTACTGGTGCAACCATGTAACTGCAGAAAGAGTCAATGAAAAATCCCCACCACTAACACACAAGAGTGACACCAACAGTAAAATGTCACTGTGCTGTAAACTGAACTGAGAGGACAAATACACCATCTCCAGTTCAATCCCACAATCCTCTCTTCCTCAGCTCATCTCATCCAGGGCTTTCCCCTGATTCAGTCAAAGTGCCATCAAGAATTAAGACAGTACTCCGGCGGTTCAGAGATTTTCTTTCAGCTCCTACAATCTCCATATTTCACTAAGAGGATTCAATCGCAGGTATTTAAAGTCTCAGCAGCTGTCCTGAGATCAGTGAGTGCTCATTAACCCTCCATCTCTACTGTAACACTCAACATTCAAACTGAACCCAGATCAGAAGATAAAATTAAAGCATAAATATAATGCCCATGACAGCCATGGTGTTTTATCCTGAATATAATGAACAGAGTACAGAGTTACATTTCTGTTAAGTTTTTTTTATGTTGTCTTACTCTGCTTGTGTCGGTTGCCATTTGGATTTGTAGATGTTGTTGCTCAGAAACTGTTTCAGGAGATTCAGTTCTCAGTTGTGTTCATTTAACAATCAACCTTGTCTCAGATGCATCTTAAAAAACTCCTTAAAAATACATACAACAGTACGTATATGTATAGCATTATAGTTGTAAATAAAACTTGCCATATCTTTGTAATTGTGGAAAAAGTGTACAGCAATTTTTAGTGTTGCAGCTCAAATCATTTGATGAGAAATGTTTGAATTCATATTGAGACCTTTTAATTGCAGTCTTGGCAAATGTGACCACAGTTTGAGATATTTCTGATTATATATATTATATTGATTATCACACACACACACACACACACACACACACACACACACACATAAAATGCTAATAGCTATATATTTATACTCAAGTGAATCATAGTCAAATTCGTAGTCACCCTGGTGTGCTAATAATTTTAAATATGAATGTTTTGGAAACATCTACAGAACATGAAATACTTAACAGATTGAGGCAAGAATTTAAAATCTGGCATTCATCCTCTAAAAACAACAAAAAACTGCAACAAACCAGAGACGTTTACTAAAATATCACACAAAAATGTAGTCAAAGTCGTTCCTCGTTTTTCTCGAACTTGAGTTCTTTCCTCACATTAGCACCAGTTCACATAGACACGGACACACAGGTGTGACCCCTCACCTCGGGCCCCTGAGCGGCCAGGTGGGGCATGTTGTCATCCCAGCGGGTGCAGCTGGTAGTGCCAGTGCCACAGAGCGGCATGAGAGCAGAGCACTGGAGCAGCTCGGTCAACAGTTTGAGCGCCAGCGCTACGACCATGATCCCCGCATCGGGCCGCTGCCGTTATGGGCACCGAGAGAGCACCTCTGGAACTGCACCGCACCAAACCCACGGGCCTTTAACGAAGCGTTCGTGGGCATCAACCCAAAACTCGACCAGCTCTTTCCAAACACTGTGAGCCGGGAAAGCTCCTCCGAGTTTTGCTTTGCCACGTTCCTGGTCGAGTTTCTTCACAAACGTAGGGATGCTGAGCTGCTGCGTGAAGACAAACGCACGCAGATGCACACAGCAGTCGCTTCGCATTAGTGCACGCTGAGAGCAGAAGCTCTATTAGAATCCTACTTCTGTCAGAGAGAGAGGAAGACACGCTCATTCCCGCACTAGCAGACATGCTCTGTTGAAGATAATGGGAGAGGAAGGGAGGGAGTGAGCATGTGCATGAGAGAAGAGCGTAGACCAAAGCTCAGCAACGGGAAGAACACAAAAAACTAATGTGAGATAAGGTGGGCGAAACGAGGAGATGACATCAGATAAATTAGCAATCGAGCGCAAAAACAAGCGTCTCCAAACAGAGCGAGAGAAATGGACTGAAGAGCGCTGGAGCAGAAACAACCAAAGAGCATTTCTCCTTCCTCCCTCTGTTCTCTGTCACACCGCAAACATTACTGGCCAAATCTGTGTTTTTGGTTTTAAAATGTGTTTTTTGAGAATATACCTTGAAGTTACTTTTATTACCCGATCTGCAAAAAGTATGAAACCTCATTATATTTTGATTAATGATGATTAAAACAAGAAAAAAAATCCAAAAAACTTAGCAACCCCCTAACAACCACCCAGCTCATCTTAGCAACCCCCTAGCAACATCCCAGAATCCCAGAACATCTTTGCAACCCCTTAGCAATCACCCTAAACACCATATGGTTTCTGTATTAATATTTATAATTTATTAGCATATATAATGTATACATAAACATTATATAAGCCTCTACATATTATATAAGCATTATTAGATAATGATATATTTACATATATTTCATAATGTATATAACATTAACATTATTGTAGCATTATTGAAGCATATATATAAAACATTTTTTTTAAATAAAAATATTTAAAAAATATATTAAAATATATATCTTATTGGTGACAAGCTAATTATACGGTTATTCTTCAGACCAACTAGTTGGTTTTGTAATCACGTGGTTTTGCTCGTCTCTACACCGAACACATGAAACTGCAGAACTCTACAGACAAATGCTCTATTAATAGCACACGGCTGCAGAGTCGAGCGCTAACAGGACAAATAAACGCTTACGGCAAAGTTATGGCATGTGTGTGTGAGTGTGTCAGCGGCAAACAACACAACGCCTCTCGACCTTTGCTGTTCATGTGTGTGTTTATAGGTATGTTGAGATGATGTTTGTCAGTATGTTCACACACACACACACACACACTAATCTGCAGCATTAAACTCATTACAGCAGATACTTGCATATGCTAATGAGCAATCACAGATCTGCATATGCAAATGAAGACTACAGCACGCCTGCATTGAATCTGCTCACTACAGTTAAAACATCACCGGCCGCTTCCCAAACTCTATGATGATTGGTCATTCATTATGTTGTCATGGTAACAGGCTCTGTAGAAAGGCACTGCATTTAACTTAGTGTTTTACAGTACTACACACACGTTTACCTAGATATGTAAATGAGGACGTATCATAGACTTCCACTACTGTTCAAAAGTTCAGAGTCGGTTTGGGATGCTTTGATGAATAGAAAATTCAAAAGAACAGCATTTATTTGAAATAGAAATCTTTTGTAACATTAATAATTTCTTTACTTTCAATGTTGATAAAGTTAATGCAGCCTTTCTGAATAAAAGTATTAATTTCTTAAAAAAAAAAAAAAAAAACCCTATGAACTGTAGTGTATGAAGTTGATTATTTTGAGTACAGAATTACTCATTTAAAGATAAAAACTGTAAATATCCCCTTACTGTACATTACATACTGTATATAATCTACTCATACTACTGTTATTAAGTAGTATCTCAAATACGATGCACTATACAGTATTATGCTACATTGTCACATGACCTCACAACGTTACATGTTTATCTCTGAAAAACATTGCATTTTAATTCAATTTTATGTTAAAATGTCTGATTGAACGACTCAAAAATACTTAAGATGTCATTTCAAATCACTTTCGTTTGATTCATCACACTGGAAATGGAAGTTGAGCGCATTGCATTGTGGGTCATGCAATGCTGTCTATTTACTGCACATTTTTGGAATCCAGTCCACCATATTTCATACATCCAAAGAATGCATACAATCACAATAGATTTCTGGAAGAAGACGATCAAGACGGACTCAAACTCTTCTCTGCTCCTCTAGTTCTTCCTCTTCCTCTCTACCCTCGTCTTCCTCTCTGTCCTCAAGCGCAGCTGACGTGTTTGTGTCCTGAGAGCCGCAGGGCTACTATTATACCACCCGAATCAGCCGAGAGAAATACAGCACAGTGACTCACGCTAGTGTTTGACACAACAACAGATTCCTGACAGATTACTTCAGCCTCACTCAGCATCACTAGTACTGCTGCTCAGCCTCATGCTCCAGACATCAATGATTCCTCAGATCTGTTCTTTACTAAGTGACCAGACACACCATTTTCACCTGCTGGACTGAGAGCAGAAGAGCACAGAGACACGAGGATACAAGACTCTCTTCAAACCAGACAAGAGGAAAACACCTTAGCACCCACCAGAACATCTTGACAACCTCCTAGCAACCAGCAAGACATCTTAGCAACCCCCTAGCAACCTCCCAGAATATCTTAGCAACCTCATTGCAACACCTAAAACATCTTGGCAACTTCCTCACAACCTCCCAGAACATCTCAGCAACCCCTAGCAACCACCAGAACATCTCAGCAACCCTTAGCACCCACCAGAACATCTCAGCAACCCTTAGCACCCACCAGAACATCTCAGCAACCCTTAGCACCCACCAGAACATCTCAGCAACCCTTAGCACCCACCAGAACATCTCAGCAACCCTTAGCACCCACCAGAACATCTCAGCAACCCTTAGCACCCACCAGAACATCTCAGCAACCCTTAGCACCCACCAGAACATCTCAGCAACCCTTAGCACCCACCAGAACATCTCAGCAACCCTTAGCACCCACCAGAACATCTCAGCAACCCTTAGCACCCACCAGAACATCTCAGCAACCCTTAGCACCCACCAGAACATCTCAGCAACCCTTAGCACCCACCAGAACATCTCAGCAACCCTTAGCACCCACCAGAACATCTCAGCAACCCTTAGCACCCACCAGAACATCTCAGCAACCCTTAGCACCCACCAGAACATCTCAGCAACCCTTAGCACCCACCAGAACATCTCAGCAACCCTTAGCACCCACCAGAACATCTCAGCAACCCTTAGCACCCACCAGAACATCTCAGCAACCCTTAGCACCCACCAGAACATCTCAGCAACCCTTAGCACCCACCAGAACATCTCAGCAACCCTTAGCACCCACCAGAACATCTCAGCAACCCTTAGCACCCACCAGAACATCTCAGCAACCCTTAGCACCCACCAGAACATCTCAGCAACCCTTAGCACCCACCAGAACATCTCAGCAACCCTTAGCACCCACCAGAACATCTCAGCAACCCTTAGCACCCACCAGAACATCTCAGCAACCCTTAGCACCCACCAGAACATCTCAGCAACCCTTAGCACCCACCAGAACATCTTAGAAACCCTCTAACAACCACCTTGAACATATTAACAACCCCCTAGCAACCTCCCAGAACATCTCAGCAACCCTTAGCAACCACCAGAACATCTCAGCAACCCCTAGCAACCACCAGAACATCTTAGAAACCCTCTAACAACCACCTTGAACATATTAACAACCCCCTAGCAACCTTCCAGAACATCTCAGCAAGCTTTTAGTTTTATATTTTCAGTTTTCATTTTATTTTAGGTTAAACTGGAGTATTTTATGTACGTTTTGCACTTTTTAATTATTTTCAAACATTTCTATTTAGATTTAACATATTATTGTTTCAATCTTAGTTTTAGTAATTTTACTAAAACTTTTTTTTCCCCGAGTCTGTTGCCAAGGTAACATTTCTCATTTTTGCTTAAATTTTTTTGAGTTTTTAATTTATTGTTTATACTGTTATATTCGTAATATATAACAATTTTAGAAAAAATTAAAAGTTTTATTAAAACTAAATTTGTGTTTTAACCCCATTTATGGAAAAAGTTTTTTTTAACTCACTTAATAAAAAAAAAAAAAAGGTAAGAGGGACTAGTTATGTTTTATCATAGAAGTATACAAGGTTTCAACAGGATTTGTATATATCAACAGGAGTATTAATCATTTTCGTAAAATAAAAGATTGAAACATCACACTTTTAATAAATAATATCATTAAATAAAATAGTGTTTTTGTTTAAAAAGTCTCTTAGTTGTGACTAATTACAATTTGCATTATGAGACAAACCACAACATTCAGATTTAACAAGTTTACAAAGTTTAAAAAGCCCAGATTCTTATAAAGAGTCAGTGGTGTATTAATTGCATGCTGTGTGAGAGTGAGTCTGCCGATCAGTGTTCACAGCAGCTAAAGTCTCATATCAGATTTGAGCTGAAGAAAGTTACAGAAACACAGTGGCTCACAGCCGGTTGCCTAGTTACAGCGGAACCAGAGAGTAACCTTCAGTTCTAAATTTAAGCTCTGAAACGGAACAGTGGACACAGGTAAAGAACCAGCGTCCAACAATCACACCTCACATCCCTACAGGACAGCTATGGGATGGAGTTTGAGATCAGATGTCAACAAAGCCACACAAGACTAGTCAGAGGGAAAACCAGACAAAACTAGGTAACGTTTCTTCATTGAGCCGCTGGAAACGCTGAATTCAGTCAGAGAAATGATTTGTTGGCAGAAACTGAACCCTACTCTTTTTACTGCAGGTCTGCTGGAGTTATAAATCATCCGTCGTGGTTAGAGGTATGAAGCAATTGTGAAGCCCGCAGCCGCCCATGAACTCATCTCAACCTGATCTGATTTACTAACCACAAGTGTCTTCTTTTCTCTTCATAACACAGAGAAAGTTTCATCTTTCCTGTGTTTCTTACTCTGCTCTTCTTTTCTCTCAGAGCCCAAAGAAACTTTTTGCTAGTGGTATTGCAGTAATGTAGGTTGGAGAAACAGCAAATAAATAACTTATGAATGTACATGTACATGTATGTAATATATAATAATAGC